CTCTCCTAAGGCAGTCTACCCCAAATTAGGGTTTTGTGTTGCATCAAGATACTTGAGTCCAAATGACCTCAAATGCTCACAATTTTCCTAATATGTTCTCAAGGTCATCCATGTCAAGTTTCAAGCCTTGCAGAGAAAGTTTGCTCAGTCAATTGCTCAAAGGTCCAAAAATTGACTATGTTAGGGCAAAAGTCAACTGTGACCCACATACAGTCAAAATTCAATATTTTTTGTCAACATTCTAATTTTGAAGTATATTTCATCATTTGATCAAGGGTTGATCATGATTCATCAGGGATTGCTCATAATTCATCAAGATTCAAAAGTTGCTAAATTAGGGTTTTGTAGGAAAAGTCAACTCAAATTTTCACCAAGCATAACTTTCTCATACTTTATGAGAAATGACCCATCCAAAGCTAATTTTGAAGAGGATGCAATTTCCTACAATCCATCTTCAGCTCCAAAGATTAAAATATGCACTCACAAGAAGTTATGAATTTGGACATTATAGGTCATTTTTGAAAGTCAACAAAAACACCTCTTTTGTCAAAGTTTCTAACTTGAGCATGGAATATCAAAATGAGATGAGACCAAAAGGGTTGCTTAGAGGACATCTCAATATTTCTAAAAAGTCCAAGAACACCTCCAAAAGTTCAAAATTGAAGAAGTTATGCATTGTTGAAGTTGGACTTTTTTGCAAAATTGCCAAAAGTCAACTATCCCCAAAACGTCAAATTTTGCCAAATGGGCCCATTCTTTTTCACTTGTTTTGGGTTGGCATTATTGCCCACGTGCTCTATCCTTGGCCATGTGTCCATATCATATTTTTATTAATTATTTTGATTTTTATTTGAATTAATTTGATTTAAATCAAATAAAATCAAATAAAATCCAAAGCATTGATAACAATGGATCATTTGATTGTTTCAGGCTTTAATCACAGCTAGCAAGGAATTGAAACTCGAATAAAGGCAAGTTGTGTACAAAAAGATTCAAATCAAGCCAAATTTGGAAGGTTGTAAAAGAAAATCAAATCAAATATCCAAGCATTTATAGAAAGAGATTTGGACAGCAAAAACAAACCTAATGCTTTGTACATTACATAAGGGTCGTGTGCAGACCAAAATAGGGGTTGGAGATCAAGCATAGAGTGAGAACCAAATTTTCAAAAACCAGAAAAAAAGTGTGAGATCGAAAAAAGGCTTAGAGGCATCCTCAAGGCTTGGTACGTGTCTCAATCGTTTCCTGGAAACCTCCACAAGCAAAAGCAAGCAAAACCAGTCATTTTCAGACCCTCACACGCACTGTAAGTCAGTCACGAACTCACCCTTTTCTTGATTTCGTGTTTTGTAATTTAGGCATTGTTAACATGTATTGATGGTATATTCTGAATCTACACATCATTTGCAAGCTTTTGGTATTACTCGATTTCATTTATCTGACCTATATCATGGATCACCATTGCTAGGGTTTTGTGTTTATTTTTAGGGCTTTTTGTTTCAGGAAAAATTGGCCCTAATAATGGCCATGGTTGGAATCAGGAGGATGAGACGACCTCAACCATGGTCTTAGAATCCATTTACATGGCCTATACAAGGTTTTGGAATGGACATGACCTGTAGTGACGGCTGTGATACGGTGGGAGAACTGACTGTGGTTTTGCGTTTGTTTTCGCAAATGTTTCGGTTGAGCAAGAGTCGCCACCGACTTTTTATTTTATCCTAAGGAAAGGTTTAAAAAGCACAGCAAAAACCTTTGAGATTTTTCTTGGGTTCGGGGAGTAGATTATAGAAAGGGAAGGTATTAGCACCCTTTCTATCCATGGTTATCCATGGGATCTTAGGTACTTGCTTAGATCAACTTGCCTTGGTTTTCAATTGTTTGAAATGGTGCTTTGTGTGTGTGCTTTTGAAAAAGGTTTTGAAAAAGATGCCTTGTATAGGCTACCCTTGTAACAATTCTTTACTCGAATGTTTTATGAAAGGTGTTTGTCTTTTTGAAAAGATGTTTCAAGGTTTTTTTTGAAAGTTTGTTTTGAAAGTGTTTGTGAAGTGTGGCTTGAAAAATAGGCAAGTGTTTTTGTTTTGCAAGTTGACAAGTACTTAAGAGCGATCTACCCTAAAGTTCTCAAAATTTTTTGTTATGTTTTAAACCTTTTGACAATTTTGTTCCACCATTGCATTTGGTGGACAATCTTGTATTAGGAGGTGGGTCATCGTTTAGACCATAACTGCAATAGTGTTAAATGTCTTTGGGCAATTTTCTTTGAAAGGGACTTGATCATTTTAGGCAACTTTCGAAAGCGTCATCGAGGGACTATGATCATTTGATTGTGTTTGTTTTGCCCAAAGAAACCTAACATACAATATGGCCCAATTTTGAAAGGCAACAAGTGGATGTAACCCTAGGGGTGTTAGTGTGCAAGTGTATTTTATTGCATGCAAGAGTTTTTCTTTGAATTAGGTTTTTCTATTTCATTGATTTTATCTTGCCATACACGTCCTAATTACTAGCAATAAGAAGCGGAAATATAAAATCCTACGCTATTACAACAATTAGGGGAGGGGGATACATATTTGTACATGGGGGGTTCAACGAGAAAAATAGACAAAAAAGAAAAAAGCAAAAAACAAGATATATATATAGAGAGAGAGAGAGAGAGGGAGCCCGCGCGCTGCTGGGAGGTCATCAGAAGTTCTGACTCAGATCCGCTGTCAGATGATCAACCTGTTAGTGAAACTGGATGAGTCAGAACTTTTGACTCTGGCACCTGCAAAACAGAACCTTGTTAGTGGAGAAATCAGAAGTTCTGATTTCCCTGCGCTGCAAGACAGAAGTTTGTTAGTGGAGAAACCAGAAGTTCTGATTCTGCTGAAAAGGCAATAACTCTCAGAGGTTCTGATATCATTGACAGCAAAACAGGCTTCAGATGTGCCAACGTCAAAGTCAGCACTTGGCTTTTCCCTGTGCTAACCAGAACATCTGCAATTCTGTTGTTACTCCACAAAACAGGAAACATATTTGGAACAGATCCAGCAAATAAAAATGTTTCAGAGGTCAGAACCACCAGGGTCACAGGCAAGTCCTATACTGGCTCAGAACGTTCTGAGGTATGAAAATCCTCAGAACATGAACAGCAACAACATGATATTTACATTATGTTATTTGAATATGTACAGCTGATGATGCTTAACAGCGTGATGAGGGTCAGCAGGTGCTTACCTGACTGTTGAGAAAGTTGTGGATGAAAGTTTAGCTTTTGGTTATGGTGGTGTTCTGGACAGATTTGAAAAGGGGAAGTAAAGGTGTATACGTATGTAGGGTCAGAAGTTTGGAAAAGGTGTGTTTGGTTTACAGAAAAGAACTGGATATTTGATGAAGTTTGGGAGGTTAAGAAACTCAAAGTTATGAAACAAAACTGGAGATTTTGGCAGAGTTTCAGAACGCTGTGTTGCTAAGAGTTCTGTTTCTCACTTAGCAATTTCTGTTTCTTTTCTTGAACATCTTTTGCAGTGGTGAAGACTCTCTATTTATAGGCAAAGTTCTTGTGGATTCCTTGAACATTTAAGGCGCCAACAGAGTTTGAATTTGTTCTTTGACAAAAATTCCTGGGAAGTTGTGATAATAGCTAGCTTTCAGCCTAGGTTGCAGCAGCAGGCGTAGATTGGGGAGAAGTGACCTCTGAAGTGGGCGGTGGCGTGAAGACCCATGCCAGAATCTGTGCAAAAGCTTTTTCCAAGCCACACGTGAATGCTCAGGAGTGGTTGGAAGCATTAATGGGCATTAAATGGTGACAAGACCTATCAATATCAATATTCTGGTAATGGAAACCAACGTTGAATCAGCAGTTCTGTTTTAAAAGGAACAACGTAAACCATGCTCTGGCCTTGGCTTCCTGTTGTCTTAGTAAGCTCTGGAGATTCTTTATCAGTGTAACACCCACTCTTCTGATCTTTCATCTTCTGATTTCAACTTGTTCTGAAGGAGCCTTCAGACTTTCCTGCTTCTCTTGCATTCCTTTAGCAAATTCTGACTGAGCATGTGTAACTGCTGAAGGGGCATGTTCTGTTTGAGTCTTACATACTGAACCACGTTTACAACTTCTGATTGAACTGATGTAGCTGCTGAAGAGCCAACTTCTGACCACGCTGAGCCAAGCTTGCAACTTCTGACCGTTTTCATCTGGAATGGGTCCAGAAGTTCTGAAGCGCTGATTTTTCTAAAAACACTTATTTTAGAGAAGCGTTCTAAGTACTTAGAATTTGATTTTTTTTCTCTCAAAAAGCGTTGTTTCTGGAGTTCGTGAGATCATCCTGCTCTTGCAAATGGCTTGCTTGGGCCAAGGGATAACTCAGGACTTGGGTTTGTTTCAGAGGGACCTTGAAAATCCAAGGTGGTTTTCCTGAAGAAAGGGGGGGCAAATTTTGGGGTACAACAGTTGCCCCTGTTCAATCTTCTTGAACCTGAAGAGTTAGATTGGCAATCTTGCCTTTCGTGACTCGAAGGTAAAAGGAGATTGGACACTAGAGTGCCCTTAAATTTGCACTCGTCAAAGCAATGGATGCGGAAATGGGCTTAAAGATGCCATTTCACTACAAGAAAAAAAGAGATTTACGACACATAAATTGCGACAGTTCCCACAAAACCGTCCTTATTCCTGAATTGCGACAGTTGTCACGACGGTTAGGCTCAACCGTCGTAGATTTTCAAGCATTATTCCTGAATTGCGACAGTTGTCACGACGGTTAGGCTACTTTTTTTTATTCTTTTACTTTCCCACTTTTTTTCAGCAACACAATATCATAATATCAACACAATATCATAATATTTTCAACAACTAATATTTATTATTAAATTATAAACAAAATACAACAAATAAAAATATAAAAAAACAAAATAGGAGTAACAAACAAAATTGAAAGAGGATTAGGTTTTGTGAAAGAGCTTTTTATCCGATTGAAGCAAAGAACCACCGCCGGAAGTACGATGTTGCGCCTAGAATGGTGAAGCTTCCATTCTTCGATTCGACTCAATCTTCTTCATCTTCTGCGCGATCTTTGTATCATCCGAATATCAAGGTATATAAATTATTGATTCAATCTTCTTCTACTTCTTTTCAATTTTCTTTCGATTTTACCGTGGTGATGTGTTTCGGTTGAAGTTGCAGAATCAGTTGCATTGATGAAGATGATGAACGAATGAAGTTATTGATTCAGTGAAGATGCATTGAGGACGATTGAAAAACGGAAGGTGATGATGCTGTTTTGAGATAACCAGAAGGTGAGTTTTTCTTTCTTTCTGTGAATCTCCTTCTGAGTTTTTTGTGTGATTTTCTGATTGAATGAATCGTGAGCCAAGTGAGAGAGTGAAAGTTTTGTATGATGTAAAGGACTTGTGATGATAATGGTTTTGTAATGCTTGTGAACAACTTGTAATGAACATGATAGACTACGGTGGCTCCATATTCAGAATTTCAACCGCCGGTCACTGCAATTTGAGTGTTCATTCAGTATATTAAATCCATCCTCTTTGTCGAGAAAGGGTCTTGATGTTCATACTGTCCATCTCCATAGGCTACTGATGCGCTTTCAACATTTAGAGTCTTTATCCTTATGTGGTTGTACGGAGCTCAATGATTCAGGATTAACCCGTCTGCTAAGCTATGGTTCGAATTTACAGAAACTTAATCTAGATTGTTGTTTGAAAGTTACTGATTACGGGCTATCCCTGGTTGCTTCTGGTTGTCCCTCATTGACGTCAATTAGTCTCTATCGGTGTATCAACATTTCTGATGACGGATTAGAGACTTTAGCCACTGCTTGTTTATCTTTGAAATGCATAAACCTCTCGTACTGCTCACAAATATCCGACAAAGGGTTGAAAGCTCTTACTCAGAGGTGTCGTCAGCTTCAGGCAGTTAACATATCACACTGTGAGAGTATAAGAGGTGTTGGCTTCAAAGGGTGTTCAAAATCTCTCACACATGTAGAGGCTTGGTCTTGTAAGCTCAACCCAGAAGGGGTGACGGGAATAATTAGTGGCGGTGGTATAGAGTATCTAGACGTATCTTGTTTAAGTTGGTATCCCTTAGGAGATACCTTGCTTGGAATAAGATTGTCCTCAAACCTCAAAGTCCTTAACTTTCGAATGTGCAGATCTGTTTCCGATACTTCTATTGTTGCAATAGCCATGGGATGTACACTACTTGAAGAATGGAACTTAGCATTATGTCATGAGGTGAGGATATCTGGATGGCAAGCAGTGGGGTTATATTGTCAGAATTTGAAGAGACTGCATGTTAATCGATGCCGTAATCTCAATGATAATGGCCTGCAGGCATTACGAGACGGTTGCAGAAGTCTCTCGGTTTTGTACTTGAATGGTTGTGTTCACGTGACTCCTTTTGCATTAGAGTTATTCAAGTCTCACAGAGCAAATGTTTGTATAAAGGATGAAGAGGTAATGTGCATCAATCCTTACTCCCCATTCAGATGATACTGACTGGTACAGAATTGTCATCTCCCTAGAGAAAGGTCTGCATTCAGCTGAGTATTTACCAGTTGTTTCAAAAGGTCTTTATTTGTGTATAAAATGTATTTTAAAACTCGGGGTTGCTTCTAGTTATACATTACTTAGATGCTACCTGGTATAGATTTTCACCTGTCATAAATATTTACACATAATTCTGGTATTGAATTCGATAGAGGTACATTAGTATTGTAATTTGTCATTTATATCACGTAATGATCTCAATACATAATGTCACTTTGAGGACAAGTATGCATTTTCCAAAGATGTTCTTGATTACAAAAAAGATTGTTAACTATGTAGTTCTTGATTTGTTTAATCCGATAGCAAGCTGAAGTGTTGTGTCTGGACATTAAACAAGCTTCACACTAGTCTGTGTTACAATTTTCTATGAATAACAAAGCATCAAATAGTTCACGTTTTAAGTTGTTGCAACATTAGAGCTAAACTTGTCAAATAGGGACTATGTCCAACTTCATTATATGTAAAAACAAGTTCTGTCAAATCTCAAAAAAGGTAAAATTCAACATTTATAAAATGATATTGAATATAGTAAGTTCCCGACATGTTCCATTGATTCATTGATTCTATCCAAATGCACAACTTTCTTTAGATCGTTGTTCCACAATCTTTCCCTTATTTGCTTAGTATCATTATCAACAAAGAACATGGACGTCTATCCCATACCAAGTTGGATTCAAATTAAATTTGAATTTGACTTGAAATTTAAATTTAAAGCAAAACTCCATTTTGACATAAAAACAAGATATAATCATTTGATTGTAATGTGGATCTGTGACTCAAATTCAAGTGTTCTTGGTTCAAAGAAGTGGAAGTGAAATAATAAAAAACTGCACATGAAACACAACTGCAAGATTAACGCAAGATTTGATGATTTGTTTTTCAGGTTTGTTGAAAATCTGGTAAAATGCTGGTACTATTTGAAACGCCGGCGGGTTTTGCCCTTTTCAAAGTTCTCAATGAAGGAAAGCTTTCTGAAGTTCAGGTGATTATCATTATTATTATCGTTTAAACTGTTCATAGTATAAATCTATCAGTTTTTTTTATATTTTTTGTTATTTATTGGTTGTATTTTCAGTTTTTGAAGGAAAAATGATTTTGATTTTAGTTGTAATTGTTGAAAAATTATGCGAAGTCTAAAAGGAAAATACTTTTAAGAAGTGATATGGAATCCATGTTTGGACATAGTATCCAAGAACAAGACCACCAAATGCAGAATCTTCACACATCTTGCAAGTCACTCTCATTAGTGATATCTACTTCCACAGCCTTCTAGCCCACTATACCGGAAAAGCATTATGTCCACTTGCAAAACCAAGTTGAATCATCCAAATTCTTTTTCAGGTATCTACCATCATAATATCCACAAACTTTTGCTTTGATAAATTAGTAACTTACAAACTTTGTTATAATTGTATTGGTGCCGCACGAATATTCTACTGGTTTTATTAGTGAAGAACATAGGAATTTATAAGATATGGTTTAGGCATCATGTAAAAGTAATCATATGGAATCATAGATTCATTAGATGGATCATGTACTCATACCCCACTCCATGTATTCGGTCTTCAATGTCAAGACAACATCAATTAATATAAAAATTACTTTAATTTTAAATATATGTAGGTTAATTATCATGAAAGTTGGTTAAATGGTTAACATCTTAAAACTTAAATTAATGAATATCTAAATAAAGAGAATAATAATTATATGGCTCAGCGTCTAGTCACATAACAAGATGGAATAAAGAGTCATGCTATCAAGTTCTAAACAAGGGAAGAACAAGATAATGAAAAGTAATAACAGTGTAACATATGTAACAAAAATAAAGTTGAGTTAAGATCATTGTAGTTATAAAAATAGAACAAGAAAATCACATAAGCTATCACTTATTCACATATTAAAAATATTGAAGTTTTGCTTGTACAGAACAAGTAACGTCACAAATTCTGTTGCAGAAGTCACTATCTCCTATAACCTGACACGCTTACAATTCTCACATGGTTCGTTCATTCTCTCTTCTTAATTGGGGTCCCATGTTGGACTTAGACACGGTTCCAACACTTTATAATTACAATCAATTTATTTATTTTTTAAAATTATTATCGAGGTGTTAGTGTCGTTTTTTTTGCTTATAATATGTTTCATAAATTAAGATATTATGATCTCATTTGATTTGTATATACTTAGATGAGCACATTTAAGTTATTGTGAAAATCTAGCTTTAGCACCAGTGATTAATTTAAGAGGGAGGCATGATGTAACATGTTTGGTAATGAAAACTTATAAGAAAACCGTTCTATAACGAGAATAATATGCACATTGAATGTTCTCCTCGCAGAGACTAGTTCATCTTTGGGCGCTTGAATCCGCGGAACGCGATGCCTTTTTGGCGAACGAAGCAACGAAAAAATGGACATCGAGCAATCAAGTTCTGGTGGAAATAGCTTGCACTAGATCTTCTGATCAATTGTTTTCTGCAAAGAAGGCTTATCATGTTCTTTATAAGAAGTCTATTGAGGAAGATGTTGCTCATCACACAACTGGAGACTACCGGAAGGTACAAATTCTCCATCATAAACTTGTTAGTTGTAAGTTGAAACAAAAATTGATTACAAATTTTGTATCAAGATAATGAATAATTTGAGCTATATGTGTGATTTAAGATTTTGTGTCACTCAAAATATCAAAGTTAGCTTATTTTTTGTTGGTATATATAGCTCCTATTGCCTCTGGTTAGTTCTCACCGCTATGAAGGAGATGAAGTGAACTTGACTATAGCAAAAGCTGAGGCAAAGATACTTCACGAAAAGATTTCGAAAAAGGCTTATAACGACGACGATCTCATTAGGATTCTGGCCACAAGGAGCAAAGCACAAGTTAATGCTACTTTGAATCACTACAAAGATGCATTTGGAAAAGATATAAACAAGGTTAGTAGAGTACTACTAGTTCTCACATTTTTCTTGTTTTACAAAAACTGATTAAGAATAACTGTATTAATCTTTTTTTGAGACACTTTGATAGGACCTGAAGGAAGATCCAAAAGACGAGTTTCTGTCATTGCTGAGATCAACTGTCAAGTGCTTGACTCGTCCTGAGAAGTACTTTGCGAAGATAGTTCGTCTGTCGATCAATAAGCACGGAACGGATGAAGGGGCTCTTACAAGAGTTGTGGCAACAAGAGCTGAAATTGACTTGAAAATTGTGGCTGATGAGTATCAAAGGAGGGACAGTGTCCCTCTTGACCGTGCCATTGTGAAGGACACAACTGGTGACTATGAGAAAATGCTTTTGGCACTTTTAGGACATAATGATGCTTGAGATACATGTTAGTATGTGTGTTTTAAACTTCAAGTAAATCCTATTTTTTGGATATATAAAAAAAGGTTACATAAATTGCTTAAGCGTGTTGTTCTGTCTAATCTTAGAAATGTTAATAAATTTGGCCGATGGATAATTGATGTACTGTTGCTGCTTTTGGCAGGGATGCTGCAGAATCCTGAGTACCGTCAACGACTTGAAGAAATGCTGTAAGTTCTTTATATTGTACTAGTATCTTCCAAGCCTTTTTTTGTCCACCGCCATGTATATCCATCATAGCGCCCATGGCGCTGCTATTTGTTAACACTGAATCTGACTCCCTATTCTTTACCTAACAGAACCTAACATTTGGAATTAGGATAAATGCCAGTCCTGGAGGAAATTAAATGACCATTCTTCTGCTTTTGTACAATAACCTTTTGTTTGAGTTTACTTATGACTGGATTCATGGTCACTACGTTGATTTTAGACCTAAAGTTGCACAGAAATGTAAATCTTATTTGTTATTTCTCACTAAAGTGTCATTCTATGTGCTGCAGTTATATAAATCAATGTATTTTCTAGTAATATATTGGTAAACTGTACTCTCTGGCCACTAGGGATTCACACATCCTTTCTTTTTCTCCTATATATTTGGTTTCAGAAACAACATGGGTGGAGGCACTGAATGGGACAGTCGAATGATGGACACCTTAAAGAATTTCGACCTTAATAGTCCTGCTGTTAAACAACAATTTGGTATGTCTCACATTTTACAAGAGATGTCTTTTTTGAGAGATGGATCAATTCTTTAATTCTTTCTACATTCTCCTTTCCTGTTTTCTAACATTTTATATTATCACTTTCATCAGATCAAATTGGGCAGAAACTAGGGGAAGGTGTGAAAGGGGTGTATATCTCGATAGACGTGGATTGTCTTGATCCTGCATTTGCTCCGGGAGTGTCTCATATTGAACCGGGAGGTCTTTCTTTCCGCGATGTTCTTAACATCCTACACAATCTTCAAGGTGATGTTGTTGCTGGAGACGTCGTTGAACTCAACCCACAACGCGATACTGTTGATGGAATGACTGCTATGGTAGCTGCTAAGTTGGTCAGAGAAATGGCTGCAAAGATTGCAAAATGATCAAGAGATTTCGGAGCTAACCTCTTTTTGTTATAGTTCCTGAAAATCGGAAAATCTCACTTGTTATAGGTAACTTGTAGCAAAGTTATAAGGTGGTATAAGCATATTACAATGTGCAATAATTCATAAATCTTTTCTCCCAATAATAAGTACTGGTATCTCACGGAAATCTCACGCTTCAATAGCAAAAGCAATGTCTCCTTGCATTATTTTACAAATGGTTTCCCAACTGAATTAATAATACTGAGTTAGTAAATATTTCAAAACAATTGGATTGCTCATTTCAAAACAATGTTGAAAAGTGATAGAAAATAAAATAAAAATACTATAAATAAAAAAATATTAAAGTAAATAATAATTTAAATATAATAGTAAAATATTATAGTAAAATAATATTATATTTAAAATTATTTTACTAAATAATAATTTAAATAAAAATATTATTTGAAATTTATAAATCAGATTACGACGGTATATAACCGTCGCAAACAACAACAACAAAAAATAAAGTCAAATTCACGACGGTATATAACCGTCGCAAACAACAACAAAAACAAAAAATAAAGTCAAATTCACGACGGTATATAACCGTCGCAAACAACAACAAAAACAAAAAATAAAGTCAAATTCACGACGGTATATAACCGTCGCAAACAACAACAAAAACAAAAAATAAAGTCAAATTCACGACGGTATATAACCGTCGCTATCTGTTGTGCGTGACAGTTTTTGCAACCGTCGCGAAATAGGCTGGGGACGCACGATTCTGCGACGGTACTTCTACCGTCGTAGATTGTAAATTGCGACGGTTTTAACCGTCGTAATCAGCCAAAATAACCGTCCCAATCTATCATTTTTCTTGTAGTGTTTGGAGATGGGCTTAAAAGATGCCATCTGGAAGGGTGACAGAATCTCGTCGGGGATGGGCTTAAAGATGCCATCCGGAATGAAGATCAGAAAGGTGTCCATGTTTGAACCCTCTCTGGGCTAGGGCTTGAATAAGCAATAGATTGACATCCGTTGTTGGGAAGAATCCGTAAACTGTTTTCAAAAGTTGCATCTAAATAAGTAATAGATTAACATCCGTTGTTGGGAAGAATCCATAAACTGTTTTCAGACGTCTTGAGAAGAAACTGAACAAGCGATAGGTTAACATCCGTTACTTGGAGAACCCGTGAACTGTTTTCAGTAATCTTGAAGTTGAATAAGCAATAGAGCAGCATCCGTTGTTGGGAAGCGTCCGTAAACTGTTTTCAAAGGTTTGCCTCTGAACAAGTTGGTAGATTAGCGTCCGTTGTTGGGAAGCATCCATAAACTGTTTTCAGAAGTCTTGAGGTTGAATAAGCAATAGAGCAGCATCCGTTGTTGGGAAGCGTCCGTAAACTGTTTTCAAAAGTTTGCCTCTGAACAAGTTGGTAGATTGGCATCCGCTGTTGGGAAGCATCCATAAACTGTTTTCAGAAGTCTTGAGGTTGAATAAGCAATAGAGCAACATCCGTTGTTGGGAAGCGTCCGTAAACTTTTTTCAAAAGTTTGCCTCTGAACAAGTTGGTAGATTGGCATCCGCTGTTGGGAAGCATCCATAAACTGTTTTCAGAAGTCTTGAGGTTGAATAAGCAATAGAGCAGCATCCGTTGTTGGGAAGCGTCCGTAAACTGTTTTCAAAAGTTTGCCTCTGAACAAGTTGGTAGATTGGCATCCGCTGTTGGGAAGCATCCATAAACTGTTTTCAGAAGTCTTGAGAAGAAATTGAACAAGCGATAGGTTAACATCCGTTACTTGGAGAACCCGTGAACTGTTTTCAGTAATCTTGAAGTTGAACAGGAACCGGTATAGGGTTGCTTGATGATGAGTCCGTGTAAAACTGCACCTGAAACTGTTAAGGATAGTTTTTTATTCTTATCCTGAAAAGGACAAAATGTTAGCTAGACATAAAATTATGTTGCATGAAATGTATGATGCAGTATATGTTATATCAATGTTTGTGATATGAATGTAATGAATGCGCATGTGAGCTGATGAGCTGTCTTGCTGGGGAAAGATGAATCCTGGATGGCTGAAGATAAACACATCCTGACTGCTGCCGGGAAGAATAATTCCTTGGCTGTGACTGGGGAATAAGGAGCTTGGGTTGTATACCAAACCTCTGGGGAATTCCTGATGACTTCTATTGGGGAGTTACCAATCTAGTAGACTCCTGTTGGGGATGCAAGACTGAGAATCTTCAGTTTGGAGGGAAGCATCTCTGGCGACCTTACTGGGGAACTCAAGATTCGCTCTCCTAAAACTCTGTGGGGAGAAGGTTCATTAGTCTGGCTTCGCTGGGGATTCTGAAACTTAAACTCTGAGGGGAATTGAATTCCGGAGGATCCTCTGGCTGGGGGATTGTAAAGATAAGTTATTGCTGGGGAATTTTGATGAACTCTGCTAGGGATAAGAAGCATTTTGGCGAGCGCGATCTTCCGTGGCAATAAGCTGAGGATAACCTAGTTATAAGCCCTTGTGAGGAATAACTTTGAATAAAACTCGGAAGAGACGTCCGTACTCTGCAGGGGATAAGCTTCCAGAATCTATTGGGGATAAGCTGCAATACTTGCTGGAGGAAATGGGTTCCAAACCTCCTGGGGGTTTCCTTTGAAAGGGTATCAAGCTATCCAACCGCACTTTTGACTTATCAGTAATCCTCTTTCTTGATTCGTGAGGAAATGATTATGTTCAAATACATATGCCTATTTAACAAAACATTGGACGTTTCTCAAAATAAAACAAACAGTGCAAGAGAAAGTAAAAGGAAATGACACGAATTTCTGGGAAAAGTATTTGTATTTATTTTCTATGAGTATATTTGTACAAAGGAGACAATCATCCTAGTAAGAGGATTTTGTCGTAGATATTGAAAGATTTATACAAAATAAAGATGGCTATGTGAAATAATTCCATGGGATTCCATTCCGCTATAGCTTTCACAACTCTGAATATCTGTCCATCCAATGCTTCGCTTGACGATGACTGGATTGATCGGAAGCCTGGAACCGGTTGATGAAGAGGTTGTCCTTGAAGTGATCCGACGAGACATAGTCATACGCTTTAATTCCCTAACTTTTGCCTGAATCGCCCTTTCGGGTTTTCAATCCACCGGGAAACCCCTTTTTGCCCAAGTCGCCCTTTCGGGTTTTCGACTTGCTGGGTGTACAGATTTTTTTGTTTTTATCCCTAATTTTTGCCTGAACCGCCCTTTCGGGTTTTCGGTTCACCGGGATGCCCATTTTTGCCCAAGCCGCCCTTTCGGGTTTTCGACTCGTCGGGTTATTTTATGCGTAGTATCTTTTGACTATGTCTGCGTTCGCAGGGTGCGGTAAATCGTCGCCGTCCATGGTGGTCAGAATCATTGCACCACCAGAAAATATGCTCTTGATCACAAATGGTCCTTCATATGTAGGAGTCCATTTGCCCCTGGGATCACTTTGCGGCAAGATAATCCGCTTGATTACAAGATCTCCGACTTGATACACTTGACGTTTGACTTTCTTATTGAAGGCCTTGATCATCCGCTTTTGATACGTCTGACCATGGCATATAGCAGCAAGCCACTTTTCGTCGATCAGATTGAGTTAATCAAGTCGAGTCTGCATCCAATCATCTTCATTCAAACCTACATCCTTCATAATCCTTAGAGAAGGGATCTGGACTTCCATAGGCAAAACAGCTTCCATGCCATAAACCAAAGAAAATGGGGTTGCCCAAGTTGAAGTACGTGTCGTCGTACGGTATCCATGCAGAGCAAACGGTAACATCTCATGCCAGTCTTTGTAAGTGACTATCATTTTCTGAATGATCTTCTTAATGTTTTTGTTCGCAGCTTCAACAGCACCGT